AAGCTTTTCCAATCTTCAAGAATGTTCTTAATTCAATCATGGCCCTTTTCCAACATCAGTAGTTCCACCTATATCTGGGAAGAATTGATCTACCATTAATTTTCTGACTAATACCCAGTGTTTTCCATGGTTTGTAGTTTAGGCTGGTGAATCCTTAGACATCAATATGGCCGTAGGCTGATGGTCCCCCTCATCTGGATAATTATTCTATGTCTTTGTTCTGTTAAGACTTAATAAAAGAGTTACCTACAAAAAGAAAAGAAGTGGAAATGAAAAAGAAGACCTTTGACAAGAGGGAACGACACAATGGCTGCAACAATGGCCTCAAACATAGCAATGGTGGTTGACACCATCGCGCTCTATGTTGGAGCTGATGCATCGGTGCCAAACAACAACATACAGAAAACAAATTTGATTTGGTGTCTCTTGTTTCTGACGATAAAAAGATATGTCCTCGGGGGTGGGCAGTGGTGCTGGGACCTGAGATATCTCGTACCTCACATAGACCTCGGGGAAAACTAAGTTCCAGAATGAGTCCCACATTCCAGGGCACGGGCCCTGATATCTCCTCACCCTGACCCTGACATGGCCCAGGGAAAGGCAGAGACTCCCCACCAGGTAATTTGCATCTGGACCGATTTAGTGAGTGACTATGGGAGAAAGGAAGAGTGCAGCAGGGAAAAGCACAGAGCTCTGAGTACTGGCTGTTACAGGGGGAATATCCTACATCCAAATATAGATATGCTTGTTAAGTCTCCAGTGAGAGACTGGACTTTCTATTCCGCTAAGTTGCAGTCATGGAAACCCACATGAGTCTGTATGAGTCAGCATGGACTTGGTGGCAGTGAATTTAGTTGGGTTTGGTTTATGAAATCTTAGGACAAAAACAGGACAAAAAAAAAGGATCATCCAGATAAGGCCGATCACCTGTCCCAGCATAATGGGATTCACAGACTCATGGCTACTTGAATCAGACATGTGAACAAAGGGAATTGACTACACAGCCACCTTGGTCAAAGTAGCATCATGGTACTGGAATAATGACAGATACTTGGACAAATGGAAAGGAACAGAAAACCCAGAAATAATGCCATCAGCGTAGAGACAACTGATCTTTGACAAGGGCCCCCAAAGCGTCAAGTGGAGGGTGGATGCCCTCTTTAACATGTGGTGCTCGAAACAATGGCCATCCACCTGTAGAAAAATGAATCTAAACTCTGACCTCACCCCATGCACAAGAACAAACTCAAGGTGGATCGCAGCCCTAGAAATAAACCCCCAAACAATCAGGACCATCAACGAAGGAATCGGGACAAACCTATGAACCTTGGCACAGTGAATACATAGAGAAGGGTTTACACACAGATTAAGCAGAAATCAACAGGTGGAATAAAGTAAGGATAAATCACCTGTGTGCGTTAAAAGACTTTACCAAGAGAGTAAGAGATCCCAAAGACTGGGAGAGGCTTTTTAGCAATGACACAACAGATAACGGGCTTAGTACTAAAATCTACAAAACCCTCTTAGCCTGCAAAAAGAAGAAAACAGTTAATCCCCTGAGGAAGTGGGCAAAAGAACTGAACAAAAGTTTCACTAAGGAAGAGACTCAAAAGGCCAATAAACATATGAGAAAAAGCTCCCAATCATTAGCCATCAGAAAATATAAATTAAAACAGCCATGAGATACCACCTAACACCCGTGAGGAGAGCCCGAATCAGAAAATCAGAGAAGGGTCCCAAGGAAGGGATGAGTCACCCAAGGTGCAGCATAGCACTAATGAGACACACAATATACCTATGATTCTTTGAGGCTTGTTCCCGCCACTGTCATGACCCCAGTCCTGCCTTCAGTTCTGGCTAGACTGGAGCATGTACACTGGTGCAGATAGGAGCTCACAGCACATGGCATCCAGGTCAGATAAACTCCTCAGGAACAGAAATGAGAAGAGTGACACCAGGAAGGGAGGGGGAAGGTGGAGGGAGGAGGGAAGGGAGGGGCAACCGATTGCAATGATCAATGCATAGCCCTCACCACACCACCCACCAACAACAGAAACGTGGGTGAAGGGATACAGC